GTTAGCAATAAGTTTGATTTCATTGTCGTAAACCAGATGCAAATTGGATTAGTCCAGGATGTATCCAGTCTGTCCTCTTTCCAGTAACCTGAAGCATGGTTGTAGCTCAGATCTACAAATAGCCAGTCTGTATTTTGATGACTTTCAAAAAATCCGTAGGATGACATCCAGAACAACAGCGAAGAACCTTGTTCTTCAAACCAGGTTTTTCTTTATTAATTTAAATTAAATTTAATGACATAATATGTTGTTTCTTTATTGGTGCATAAATTTTCTCTTTCAGGAAAGTTATTTATCAGAATTTATTTGAAAAGTTTATTTGAACATAGGTCAATATCAAGCCTTCGTGTAAGATCATTTTTTAGTAACTTTAAATTTTGCAACTTGGTGAGGTTTTAGTCTTGACTTGATATTGACATCTTTTACTTAAGTTGCATGGCGCTCAACACTTACTTTACTCAATTATTCAACCCATGAATCACCCAAGCTCTCTGTCTGAAAAGCTGCCGTTCGCATATGTATATCGCACTTTATTTTATTAATTCATTTAGAATTTAAATTTAGACATCTTTAAAAAAGTGTGGTACAATTTCCATTTAAACTGTATTTATTTCCAGACTGATTTGTAATTCAATTAGTTAGTTGCCTCCCCGCGTATACAGGGTGGGCCTTTTCTTCCTTATTTATTGAGATATCGAAATATTTTTTTTTGTTGGAAAGACTGGAACAAATACTTTCTTATGATTAGTTCAATTATTCTGTGACGTCATATCTTATTAATAAAAATTAATAAAAATTAATAAAAATTAATAAAAATTAATAAAAATTAATAAAAATTAAAAAAAATTAATAAAAATTAATAAAAATTAATAAAAATTAATAAAAATTAATAAAAATTAATAAAAATTAATAAAAATTAATAAAAATTAATAAAAATTAATAAAAATTAATAAAAATTAATAAAATTTAATAAAAATTAATAAAAATTAATAAAAATTAATAAAAATTAATAAAAATTAATAAAAATTAATAAAAATTAATAAAAATTAATAAAAATTAATAAAAATTAATAAAAATTAATAAAAATTAATAAAAATTAATAAAAATTAATAAAAATTAATAAAAATTATTAAAAATTAAATTAATAAAAATTAATAAAAATTAATAAAAATTATTAAAAATTATTAAAAATTAATAAAAATTAATAAAAATTATTAAAAATTAATAAAAATTAATAAAAATTAATAAAAATAATAAAAATAAATAAAAATTAATGAAAATTAATAAAAATTAATAAAAATTAATAAAAATTAATAAAAATTAATAAAAATTAATAAAAATTAATAAAAATTAATAAAAATTAATAAAAATTAATAAAAATTAATAAAAATTAATAAAAATTAATAAAAATTAATAAAAATTAATAAAAATTAATAAAAATTAATAAAAATTAATAAAAATTAATAAAAATTAATAAAAATTAATAAAAATTAATAAAAATTAATAAAAATTAATAAAAATTAATAAAAATTAATAAAAATTAATAAAAATTAATAAAAATTATTAAAAATTAATAAAAATTAATAAAAATTAATAAAAATTAATAAAAATTAATAAAAATTAATAAAAATTATTAAAAATTAATAAAAATTAATAAAAATTAATAAAAATTAATAAAAATTAATAAAAATTAATAAAAATTAATAAAAATTAATAAAAATTAATAAAAATTAATAAAAATTAATAAAAATTAATAAAAATTAATAAAAATTAATAAAAATTAATAAAAATTAATAAAAATTAATAAAAATTAATAAAAATTAATAAAAATTAATAAAAATTAATAAAAATTAATAAAAATTAATAAAAATTAATAAAAATTAATAAAAATTAATAAAAATTAATAAAAATTAATAAAAATTAATAAAAATTAATAAAAATTAATAAAAATTAATAAAAATTAATAAAAATTAATAAAAATTAATAAAAATTAATAAAAATTAATAAAAATTAATAAAAATTAATAAAAATTAATAAAAATTAATAAAAATTAATAAAAATTAATAAAAATTAATAAAAATTAATAAAAATTAATAAAAATTAATAAAAATTAATAAAAATTAATAAAAATTAATAAAAATTAATAAAAATTAATAAAAATTAATAAAAATTAATAAAAATTAATAAAAATTAATAAAAATTAATAAAAATTAATAAAAATTAATAAAAATTAATAAAAATTAATAAAAATTAATAAAAATTAATAAAAATTAATAAAAATTAATAAAAATTAATAAAAATTAATAAAAATTAATAAAAATTAATAAAAATTAATAAAAATTAATAAAAATTAATAAAAATTAATAAAAATTAATAAAAATTAATAAAAATTAATAAAAATTAATAAAAATTAATAAAAATTAATAAAAATTAATAAAAATTAATAAAAATTAATAAAATTAATAAAAATAAATAAAAATTAATAAAAATTAATAAAAATTAATAAAAATTAATAAAAATAATAAAAATTAATAAAAATGAATAAAAATGAATAAAAACGAATAAAAACGAATAAAAACGAATAAAAACGAATAAAAACGAATAAAAATAAATAAAAATAAATAAAAATAAATAAAAATAAATAAAAATGAATAAAAATGAATAAAAATGAATAAAAATGAATAAAAATGAATAAAAATGAATAAAAATGAATAAAAATGAATAAAAATGAATAAAAATGAATAAAAATGAATAAAAATGAATAAAAATGAATAAAAATGAATAAAAATGAATAAAAATGAATAAAAATGAATAAAAATGAATAAAAATGAATAAAAATGGATAAAAATGAATAAAAATGAATAAAAATGAATAAAAATGAATAAAAATGAATAAAAATGAATAAAAATGAATAAAAATGAATAAAAATGAATAAAAATGAATAAAAATGAATAAAAATGAATAAAAATGAATAAAAATGAATAAAAATGAATAAAAATAAATAAAAATGAATAAAAATGAATAAAAATGAATAAAAATGAATAAAAATGAATAAAAATGAATAAAAATGAATAAAAATGAATAAAAATGAATAAAAATGAATAAAAATGAATAAAAATGAATAAAAATGAATAAAAATGAATAAAAATGAATAAAAATGAATAAAAATGAATAAAAATAAATAAAAATAAATAAAAATGAATAAAAATGAATAAAAATGAATAAAAATGAATAAAAATGAATAAAAATGAATAAAAATGAATAAAAATGAATAAAAATGAATAAAAATGAATAAAAATGAATAAAAATGAATAAAAATGAATAAAAATGAATAAAAATGAATAAAAATGAATAAAAATGAATAAAAATGAATAAAAATGAATAAAAATGAATAAAAATGAATAAAAATGAATAAAAATGAATAAAAATGAATAAAAATGAATAAAAATGAATAAAAATGAATAAAAATGAATAAAAATGAATAAAAATGAATAAAAATGAGTAAAAATAATTCAAAATTAATAAATACAATAAAAATGAACAAAAATAGATGAAAATCAATAAAACTAATAAAAATAAAAAAGGAAGTCATATATTTTTTTATATTAATAACACGACTACATGCGAGAAAAGTCGCGAGCAAAGCCGCGGGCAATAGCTAGTATCGAATAAAACATCGATGTCGATCGATGGTATTAAAAAAAACGACGAAAATTGAAACACCGAACGTCGCGTTGAAAGCCAGATATCGATATTTTTCAAATATGACGTTTCGTGAGCATTGCGCATCCCTAGCTCTTAGTTTCGCCTCTCGATACCAGAGGGTGTAGAAGAGCTTCCTAGTCCTGGACCATATTTTTGGGTCAGTTCTATTAGAATTAGAAAATCTCAGACACCTAAGTTACAGTTAAAATTTAAAATTAATAATACTTACTTGCTATTGTTTAAAATGTCAGAAATATGGAACTATTATACTAAAGACGATTTAAAGCAAAACGCAATTTGCAACATTTGAGAAAACTCTTTCAAATATTCTGGAAGTACTAGTACTCTTTAGAGCCACCTGACAAGCCCAGTTTCAGAAGAATTTGACAAACGATTTTATTTAAAGGATACCTTGACGAATAAGTTTGAAAACTGCGGACTTTACAACCTATCTTGGCCCCAGATATAAAAATATTAAAATAAAAATGGACTTTCGGTTGAAAGTCAAGTACGAGTTGTAAAAACAAATTAGAACTATGTCTGAGAAAAGCCAACAAAAAATCGGAAATAAACATTTAATTTCCAGAAGATTGTAGACCTAGTAATTATCTTTCGGAAGTGGAGAAATACAATTCTGAGATATTATTACGAAAGGATCAAAATTCATTAAATTGGGGAAAGAAAAAAAAGGCGAATAAATACCCGTTATTATCTGTACTGGCCGAATCTGGTCTAACCGGACCGGTTTAACCGGCTCGGTTTGATGGGACCGGTTAATCGGATAATCAGACCGGTAAACCGGATAATCTGAACGGTTAACCGGATAATCAGACCAGTAAACCGGATAATCTGAACGGTTAACCGGATAATCTGACCGGTTAACCGGATATCCGAACCGGTTATAATAATAGCAAAAATCCGGTTAAAACCGAAACCGGTCAAAATCAGTCGAACCGGTAAACCGTTTATCACGTCAGGAATTGACAGCCTTAGTTTTAATGCTTTACCTATAGGACCAGAGAACGAATTTAGACCATGATTTGCACCATCCAAGGCCACTAAAAAATGGCGTAAAGAAAGTTCATTTGTATGGAGGAGACACACAAACCAATGAAGACTTTTTTGTAATTAACTTCTAATTTAGGCATTATACCATTTTTATTCCCGGTATTTACATTAGTTCCCTCGCATCCAATTGCAACCAGCTCATCAGTTTTGTACTCGTATAAAGTAAAAAAAATTGTAATGGCCGTTAAAATATTTAAAGATGTCCCCGATAAAGGAGTTATATGTCTTCAGTAACGTTTACGGGGTGATGAACCTTTTAAACTAGTTTTTCTTGTTAAATCCTTTCGGCCATCGATATTAATTGATTTCAGCATAAAATCCTTTTTATCGTTTGACTGATTTTGCTTTCTTAGCTTCTGTCTTTCGCGTCTTACTTTACTATAATCTATAACTGATGAATTGTCATCTTTGGTCAAAACTCCTAGGTCTTGAAGTAATGCGGATGACACCGTAGCTGCCCCGCGATCAGACAGACCCCATCTATCGCACTCTCGTGCTAAATTTGGCAGAGATTTACGCATTTGTCCAGATATAATAGACATAGGAGGTTCTGGGGAAGGTTTTTAAGTAATTGATAACAAACTAACGCTCATTTCCAAGGACTCTTTAATTTTAGAAGCATCTTTTTGTAGCTTGATAGTTTTTACAATGCTGGATCATGGTGCTTCTTGCAGTTTTCTTTATTCTCTTTTCTCCATTTGTTTTGTGGTATTGCTATCAACGTTCCCTATCATCATTTTTCTGGCCCTCCGCTAATCTAGCAAAAATCCTCTCTCTAAAACAGGTATTTTCTTTAATTTTTTACAGGTACATTTTTCAAAACTTGCAATATCAATTAAATTCTTTGATTTTTCTTTAAACGTTTCGATCTGTTTTATGTAGCTTGCAACATTGGCTCTTTGTTTGTAGGGTTATAGTAGTTCCCGATATTTGTTGTGGTACTCTCGAATCCATTTCATAATTATTTCGCTTGATATTGTAGGCAATGAAGCTTTCTTCCAAATTTCTTGCAGTTATGGTACGACAATTCTGGCAACTTCTGCAAAAGTGGGTTCCTTTAACTGACCGTTCATTTTCAGTTCGTTTTTTGTGAAAAAATATTGTTGTAAAATATTCTCATAGCTTGGCAAAACGTTTGTATTAAATACTGTACCAAGTCCATATAAAGGACATCGAACATTCCGTCCACGAGTTAAAGGTGAAGGTGCTGTCATTCATACTAAAGGTTAGTTATCTGAAACAATTAGGCATTCCAACGACCTGTCAAACAATAGGTGCCAGTGGGAAATTCTTGTATATTTAAGGGGGTAGCGACATATTCTTGCAACTAAAATATTTAAATGTAATCCATTATTCATGATTTTACGTAAAGTAGATAAAATACACCAAATGTCGCCACCCTTAGATATACCAAACCTGCCCACTGGTAATTCATTTGTTTGGAATGCCTAATTAGGCATTCCAAACTGAATGGCTACCAGTGGGTTTTGACGGGTTATGATATGCAAAATTATGGCAACCCTGTAGGCCTGGTGATTTGACAAGGTCAATGAAATAGATAGTTACATAGATTGATCATCCATATTTTTTAAAATAAATATAAGCTTATGCCTTAAAGTAAAAATGTAAGCAATTATTTTTTTTTAATATTTAAAGGCTAAAAATTGGTTTCAAAACACATTTTTGCTAAACCGATTCAAATTAATAAATATTTGCCAGGCAATATGGCCGCTCGTAAACGACCAGCTTTGAGCAATCTATATAACTATATATGTATCATTGACCCTGTTAATGACAACATGACAACAGGGTTGCCATATCTAAACTGTCATTACCCACTGGTAGCCATTTGGACAGGTCGTTGGAATGCATAATACAGAATTATTTTGGACATTTGACAATTGACATACTAACATAGGTCTTTAAATGAATATATAAAATTTTAAATTTGTTATTTTTTATTGAAACTTTATGAAGTTTAGCAATTTGGTAGCACCTCTAAACATTAATTGTGCGGGCGAATATTTTCTGCTGATATCCCTACTAGCAATACCTGCAAGAATTATAAATCGGGTAGTGTAAAATTTCGAACTAAAGTAAAACAACATAAATATATTTTTTCTTTAATTTTTCATTGTTTTCAAATTTTTAGGGACCTTGTGGCTCCTCAAGACATGGCGTTAGGGATCTACAATTTTTAAGGGATCACTAGTATACCAAGTCACAACTTTAACGAACACAAGCAATAAATATTTTTCACTCCACATGCATATAGTAATGCAGAAAATAAACGTAACATTCAGAAAACGAAACTTCAGGATTCAAATCATTTTTTAATTCGCTATCTTGAGTTTTAAAAAACTCCATATATTTTTATAGCAGTTACTTGTCAAATGTCAAACTTTTTCCTAGCGAAAAAACATTTTTTTAATTTTGATGAAATGCGAGGTTTGTTCCAAAAAACGCGGAAACGATAATATTTCGGTACAAATCAATTTAGTGAGCGTCTTACTTTTTGTAATGCGGCAAGTAAATTAGTCTAGTAGTTTAATATTTTGTGGGAGGGCTGTCATAATTCAGAGATGAAAGTGTTTATCGGAGGGGAAAATGTTTATATATATCACTATCCAAATAAATGTATTCTAAAATATCAATTTCTGTCACTCACTTAAATCTAACGTAAATTTAGTTATTTATTGTTTAACATTTTTAGTGCGGATTCATCTACATCAGCGATTTTCTATAACACTACGATATTTTATGAGGGCATAAGAACAAATATCTCTCAAGCATTTATGCACCCAAATTTTACTGGAGATTATCCATCCCCAAATGATATTGGAGTATTGAAGGTAATTAACTTTTTATTTTTTACAATGGCAGAACTAACGATTCTTTCTTATGTTATGATGGGTATGAGATTTAATTACAATCCCTTTCAGGACCGACTTTTCATTTCATCATCAACAATTTTTTTATTGTCTAGTTCAAGTTATGGAAATATTATTACAAAAAATACTAGTGGCACTCGGGGACTGCCGCGGTAAAGCTAGTGCATAGCATTTTTTATCAATTTATGCAATTATAATTATTTATTTATTTTATTTATGCAGTATTTTTTTTTTCTTTGATATTAATTCAAGTTTTTCTCTGATATTAATTCAAGTTACACTTTTTGAGCGTGGCGACCGATAAGAAAACAATTTTTTTTCTTTTATTGAATAAATGAGAAGGTAATATTGTTTAAAATATTTTTATTATCTTACAATACATGTAGGTTATTCAGGAATTTTTATCATTGAAACTATAGGTTTATGGTAACTGAAATAAGAAATATAAGTTTGAGACTTGATATCCTCTAAATATCTGGAAAATACCGCGTCAATGGTGATCCCATATTTTGTTGTGGATCATTATTCATTTTCAAATTCAATTTTTCCGAAATTGTGTCTAAATGAGATAGAATCAGTTATGAGCAGTTAGCAGCTAGTATACACGCATACGTCTAGTCGCACTCCCACAAACACCGTGTCGAAGTCTGCCGAACTGAAATGACGTTAGAAAATGTAGACTGGTTTATTTTCGCGAAAATTCTTGATTCGATCGCCACGCTCAAAGCCCGCGATAAAAGCTATGCAATAGCTTAAAAATTAATATCTAATATTTACGCCAGACGGGAACATTTGTGATATCAATTTATTAGAAGCCAGAGAAAGCTCTTCTAGTTCTTGTATTGCATAAATGTTCCAGTCCGCAGACGTATATTTAACTCCGCTTCATATTAATATGAATAGGGTCAAATAAAACCTTCCATGGCTTTAACGCCGCACCGCTGTGCCGGTCGGAGTGGGGGGCATGGTATAAAAAATAAAAGGTAGGATATCAACTGTATTAAAAATAGGACGGCTACGCGCATGACGTCATAAAAGGAATATTTATTATAAGTAACAGTTTTTTCCTTTTAGTTAATTTTTGTTATACAAATTCGAATGCAGGTTTTTAATTTTAAAGAATAGTTTTTTAAGAATAGTTTTTATATTCGGGATAATGAGAAAGGTATATTCACAAATCGGAACTTGTCAACTTGGGATCCTGAGTAAAAATTTCGCATCTGGGACTCCGGAAATATTTAACTGATTAGGAATCGCAACAGTTGACTCATTTACCTGCATTATATTTCCCAATTGACTATACTTAACTACTTATTTTATGGAAAAGATGGGATTTATGTATAAGTAAAATACCAAAAATAGTTTTTTACACATGTAACGCAGATTATAAAAATAATGTAACAAGTACAAACAACTGCTCCATGGTGGGTGTATATACAAAAGTAAAATAAAATGTCACTGTATTTTTCCTGGACATAGTCACTGACAGGTTTTTAATTCTTCAATCAAGTACAACATGTAAAAATTAAACCTTTGCTGTATATTAAGACATTTTCAGCCATCTTATAATTGGAAGGGGTAGCATTGCCTACAACAATTCCCTTTTTTAGCATATAAAAAAAAGGTTCATGGAATATAACAATTTTAATACAGGAGAGACGTGGGACCCCCACGGGAGTCTGACTAACCTCTTACTTTCCAACAAGGTCCTTTTTAAGTCCTATGATTTTATTGTTACTGTTAAATCCGTAAAGTCTGTACCTCTTTTTTTAATGTGTTTCATTATTATCATTTACAAAGAACAAAGTTTACAACATAATATAATACAAAAATCAGCCTTAAATGTTATATATTACTACAAACTACTTAGAAACTACTGCAGCGTAAATCTGTTATATGATATTTACTTCGTATCAATTCTACTAACTCTACGCATGACGTCAGTGCCGCCATGGCACCATGCGCGATATCCCCCCTAACTGGGGGGTGTTAGGTTTATTTTCGTTACGAAATTTCTTGATTCGGTCGCCAATCAAAACCCGCGATAAAAGCTATGTAATAGCTTAATAAAATGCATTTTATTCAACTCCAGACTCAATTACCTTTCTAATTTTTGAAATCTACCCCCACCTTTTTTGGGCTTATGTTTGATGGATTTTGACTTTCCTATCTGTATACAGTATTAGGAAAGTAAAAATAACCTGCACTTTCATTTCCATATTTATTTAATATTAAATATTATTTTTATTATTTTTAGATTGACCCCCCTCTGGTTTTTAGTGAAACCGTCCAACCAATTAAGTTGCCGCAAAGTAATACGCCAAGTCCAGAAGGAAAAGTTGCAAAATTCGCAGGATGGGGTAGGACTAGTTTGGTAAGTTTTAAAATTTTAATAAAAAAGTTGTTCCTGTATTATTCATCAATTTAATTTTAGGATTCATTGGACCCAACAACAAAACTCCAAAAAATTAATCTGACAATAATCAATACTAAAACATGCGAAGAAATTTATAAGGGTATAAACATTGTAATCGACCCCGAAACGCAAATATGTGTACAGGCTGATATATCTGGCGGTAAAATCGGAGGACCATGTAATGTAAGAAGGCAACAAAAGTCAAGAAATAGAGTAGATTTACCTGCGAAAAATAAAAAAAAAGCAAAAAATTAGTGTGTTCCAATTCATGTTTTGATGATCCACTTTTATTCGCTCCAGAATTATCTGGCTTAGATTGTTTTTGGGGTGTTTTTTTTAGAAACGCGGCGCAAACGACTGACCTGAAATGAAAAATCCAGTCTTCATCTAAAGGATACTTGAGACGAAAAACGCGGAAGAACCCTACCCTAGTATTTACAGATTTTCATCTATAACAGTGGCTGTTAACCGGTGGTCTGCTGTCCACTGGTCATCCGTGGAAGCATTAAAATAAAATAAAAAAATCCATCCGCAATAAATGCACACTGTTTCATTAGTGGTCAATCAGGGGCTACCAAAACGCTCCCAGAATGTTTCACTGAAACAATGAAGATTGATGCTTATTAAAAGTAGCGGACTCAACAAACAAGTTTCAAAAAATGAACACAAAACGCTGTCTTTTCACACCGAAGTTATACGAACGAAAATCGGATGTAAAATAATTGCTCTTAAAGACTTGTTGGATCAGTTTAGTCATCTTAAATTTCAATATTTAGTATTTAGTAGATTTTTCATACAGCTCAATAAACTAAAACTTAAGGATTAATAAACAAGAAATTTTAAATTAGAATGCGTGGGTAACGTTTTTATTAACGTCCTTATATTTTAAGATAAATTCAATGCGTTCGTTTCTAAATGCACCTTTGAATTAGCCAAATTGATGCTAATAATTTCTCCTAAAACTGAAACTAAAAGTCTATCGGTTAAGGAAAACTATGTTGATATTATTACCTGTTCTGACTTACACATTTGGCATCCTAAAATGGTCCGATGCTGATCTAAATGAGCTTGATCGCCTAACTCGACGCCTAATGACCAAATTCCGATGTATACATCCTAATGCATTAGTTAAGAGAATATATCTCCTCCGAAACAACGGTGACCGAGGAATGGTGAACATTTATAAACTATGCAGGACACAGGAAGTAAAACTGAGATAGCGATTGCTTAAGTCGGAAGATAGTCTAATGAGGTTAGCTACTCAAGAAGATCGAGGGTATACACCTCTAAAATTACAGCACCATCAACTTTTGTTTGATATAAGCACAAGACAAGAAGATCAAGAAACATGGACGGAACGAGCTCTGCACGGAAAAAGTCTGGAGTTAGAGAACATCGATAAGGCACCATCATTGGCTTGGCTTGACGCTTGTTATCAATATCCGGAAACAGAAGGATTCATAATGGCTATTCAGGACAGAGTTATGAGAACACGAAATTATGAGAAACACTGCTTAAAACTAGAAGTCGAAAACAGATGCAGAAAATGCGGATCAGTGGGCGAAACTATCGAACACATAATAGCAGGATGTCGATACCTAGCAGACAACGCATACCTAGGACGTCACAACCAAGTTGTCAAGATCATCCACAAACAACTTGCGTTAAACAACGGTCTTCTGAGCTCATGCCCACCTTACTATAAATATCAGCCCGCAGCTGTTCTGGAATCAACAGAAAAGGTGCTGTATTGGGATAGGCCGATAACAGGACAGTCGACTACAATAGACCAGACATCGTCATTATCGATAAAAAAAGAAAACAGGATTGATCATCGATACAGCTGTACCACTGTCATACAACGTCACTAAAACCGAGATTGAGAAGATCAGGAAATATGAAAATCTGTCATATGAACTAAAGAACATCTGTAAACTAGATGAAGTTCCACTGGTGATGTCAGCGGAAGGAATTGTATCGAAACGCTTCACTAAAAATCTCCAAGATATAGGATTATCAAAAAACATAGTGAGATATGCACAGAAAGCAGTCCTTTTGCAAACCTGCCACATCGTTCGCAGGTTCTTAAACGGTACCCAAAGGCGGGTACAGATCTGAACACGTACGCATATGAGGCAAGCTGAGGACGCATGAGCATGCAGATGTGGACGGGCTTCCCAGGCGCGGCAAATTGCCTCGTTGTGTGTGCCGTACGGCCTCGCCCCGATCCTTTTGTTGGCGGTACATCAAAGAGAGGCAATGCACAGTAAGTGCTCAGTCGACGGGGAATTTATACCATACATCATCGAACAGATTATAGCGAGTTTTGAAGGTTTATTTTTTTGTGGAGTGAAATAAGGAAAACGTTTTGTTTCTCCTGGATTGATATAATCAGCGAGATATCATATGGAGAGCAAGAAATCAGTTCTATTAAAACACAATAAAGATTAATATGTCAAACAACATAATAAAACAAACAGGCATCCTCATCCTCCGTTTTTGTTTTAATTTTACGAGTGTTCTAGGTGTACGGTTCCGCACTCGCGAATTTACTGAATCAGTGGCGAATAGCGCCTCATGCGTCCATTATTTATGTATACAAAAAGGGGCCGTACGAGGCATTCGGTTCGGCCTCAACTTGCCTCATACGCGTACGTGCTCAAATCTGTACCCGCCTTAAGTGGAACAAACTGAATTGTTTCCCTGCTAGGTTGTCCGAGCCCATACATATTGTATAGCGAAAATTTATACCAGCATGTGCTGAGAACACAAAAATAATAATAATAATAATAATAATAATATTAATAATAATATAATAATAATAATAATAATAATAATAATAATAATAATAATAATAATAATAATAATAATAATAATAATAATAATAATAATAATAATAATAATAATAATAATAATAATAATAATAATAATAATAATAATAATAATAATAATAATAATAATAATAATAATAATAATAATAATAATAATAATAATAATAATAATAATAATAATAATAATAATAATAATAATAATAATAATAATAATAATAATAATAATAATAATAATAATAATAATAATAATAAAAAATAATAATAATAAAATTTTAATAATAATAATACTCACCGTAATTCGCCCCCTTATGAGTGAATTTTAACCCCTGAAGTTTACTGAACAACTTGGGTAGGGGAAGGGACGGCTATTATTATTTTCCGTGGCGCTCCAAGGCGACTTAAAAATGATTGATGGTGCCATTTGACTTTCAGGTGAGGAAAACTAGGCAAACCTCAAACACCATCATCGAGACGTTAACGCATGGCGATTTTATAATTTGCATGTCGTATCAAAAACAATTGATTTTCTTTTCACACGGCACACATCAAATCTTGTAACAAACCATGAAATTTGATGAAAAATCCACATGGTTTGGTGTAGGATTCGAAGCCTCTCTGTCTCCGACCACAAGCTTGCCTATAAATGAATATAAGCGCCACCGACTCGATAGGAACAAAACTTGAAAATACAAATTCATTTCCAAAAATTCAACAAATTAATAATAAATTCGGATATCGTTTACATACCAGTGCTTACACTGCTTTGAGGCACACTTAACCAAGAATTCAACAATTGGATAAAACAGTATCTGTACCATTGACCAACACCCGATTTGTCGACATCCAATTGACCGATAGGACAATTGACCCACCGGACCATTGACCGACAGGACTATTGACCGGCAGAATAATTTACCGACATGACAATTTACCGACAGATCAATTTAATGACTGTTTAAATTACCGCTAAAGTAATGAACCGATTGTACTTCCCGAGATAAGGTTAGGTTGCAAAGGTTAGTTATATTAGGTATTTTTGCGAAATAATTTACGACGGCTCTATGCCGCACATGTTAAGTAGTTTTTTTTTAAAGACCGCACATGTTGGGTAAATCAGTTAATTTTTCCCTGTCCAATACTCGTACCTGAAAATAAATAAAACACATTCTAAACATCGATTCATCGTCATTTTTCTGAAAAATAATTCTTGAATAATAAATTCGTTTGGGTAATTAGTTTAATTTTAATCATTCAAAATGTCTGTCGGTCAATTGATCCACACCTGGATACAAGCTTGCAGTCACAAAAATTGCACTAGCCATTTACTCATTTTTACTTTCCTATCTGTATACATATATAAGGAAAGTATAGGAATCATGATTTTTTTCGACCTCTAGTTTTCGACGGATTTTTACGTTTTGAGGTACTCTGAATCCGTTTTGACTATTTTCGCGATGATGTCTGTGTGTCTGTTTGTCTGTGTGTCTGTGTGTTTGTGTGTCTGTGTGTTTGTGTGTTTGTGTGTCTGTGTGTTTGTGTGTCTGTGTGTCTGTGTGTCTGTGTGTTTGTGTGTCTGTGTGTCTGTGTATCTGTGTATCTGTGTATCTGTGTATCTGTGTATCTGTGTGTCTATGTGTGTCCGTGTGTCCGTGCGTGACGTGTGTCCGTGTGTGACGTGTGTCCGTGTGTCTGTGCGTGTGTCTGTGTGTCGCATAACTCATAAACCGATACAGAGAAAAACACCAAATTTTAAACTTAGGCTTTGTTCCAGCGTCCAATGAGCTGATTAGATTTTAGGCAAAGTCGGAACATCGGGGGGTTATTTATAAGTGGTCATTTTAATATTTTATGGAATAAATCTGTTATTTACGTTTGGGGAAGACATTTTTAAATAAAAGTTACTTCTTATATTATTATCTAAAATTTTTGTTTCATACAAAGTTTTCCTAAAATGGTCCGTATTCGAGAAATTTGACAAAATGTAAAAAAATATTTTGTTTAAAAAAATTGATCAAACAAAAGTTCTTTGTAATATAATTCTCTATAATTTTTATCCCATACATAATTTCTCTAAAATGGATCGTATTTGAGATATTTGAGAAAATGTGTAAATTTCGAAATTTGAAGAAAACTCAAAAACGGATAGAGAAAAAAAACATTAAATTGTAAACTTAAGTTTTATTTCGCCGTACGTAAAATGATTAGATTTTGGATAAAGTCGGAACATCTGGGGGGGGGGGGGGGTACTTTATGGGAGGCCGTTCTTATATTTTATGGAATATATGTTATTTATGTTTGGAGAAAGAAATTGTTCAAATAAAAGTTACTTCTAATATTATTATCTATAATTTTTGCCTTATGTCAGAATTTCCTGAAATGGTCCGTATTCGAGAAATTTGACATAAATGTGTAACATTCTAATTTTTATGAAAATTGTTGAACTAAAATTTGTTTGCGATATCGATCTCTATAATTTTTGTTTATACATGATTTTTCTAAAATGAACCGTAATGAAAAAATTGGAGGAAAAGTGCTAAATTTAAATTTTTCATTATTTTCGTTTTCAATGAATATCTATAGAAAAATGTTTCGAGGTAGATGTATGTGGAAAATGTATATATTTAGTTTATCCTCTAAACATTTATAGAGGTGCTGTAATAGGTTGTACAAAATAACCGGAAAAAGCCTGTAATAACTAGATAGGAAAGTCATGTGTTGGACACATATTTAATTTTAATAACTACAAAGTACACTGACAATTAGTTTGACATAATTATTAATTATTTAAAATTTAAAAAAATAGTAGGCTGGTTACCAAATAAAAACTGTAATTGGCGGATTTCATATCCGTGCAGCGTTTTTACTAGGAGAATGAATATGAAATATATTCCTTCAGTTGAACCTACTTTTTCGTTTTGTAGAATATCCATGTAGGTGTAGAGTACATTATTTAAACTGTCTTTGCTACTTATAAAAGTTATTCATGGTTGTTATGTTTCAGGGAGATTCAGGCAGTCCACTAGTTATTGATGGAGTTACCTATGGAATTACTTCAGAAGGCCCTGGTGGATGTGCAAATTCGTCGGCCCCAATAATCTTCACGAGGGTTGCCGCTTATTTAGACTGGCTTTCAGATAAACTATAAATATGTAATTTTAAACATTTTTGACTAAATTAAAATATTCAATTCATCTTTAATTTTTGTTTTGTTTGCTAACTATTAATAAAATATGCACTTTCTTAGGCTAAAGAGCTACCATTCACAGGACCCGAACCTGTATTTGGGATAAGCAAAACATCTACTCGACAGGCAGTAAATGCACACTATACTCGGACAAAATATTGAAGAAGGTGTGTAACGTTTAAATTTGGCCTTATAGCGGTTTTTCATAAAAATAGGAATAAGCTAGTTTTTATCCGTGTTCAGTAATTATTTGATGGGTCTTTCTATAACCGCATTTAAACCACTGTGCTTTTGGATCGATATGCGAACCACTAATTTTGTCTTCACCGTCGAAAGCGATTCAGGGGTCCCTCTGAGACACTCTGGGTGAGCATGTGGCTGCTCTGTATTCAAGATGTCGGTCTAGCGTTTCCGCTCTGACGTTAATTGTGGGTATATGATCAGTTTGGGGTAGATAGGACCTCTATTTGAGTTTAGTTAGGCTACTTATTTGGTTTTAGAGGTTTGTTTGGTTATTTTAGCCCTTTCTGTCAAGAATTTATTTCGTAATAGAGGGCGCTGATGGGACACCTATTTGTCACTAAGGTATGTTGGTAATACTGGTTTGGGAGCTGTCAAGTGACGTTGTTCCGTCTTGCTTGGTATTTCGAGATTGATATTCCACACGTGGTTTGTTTGAAAGGTACTGTTTCGAAATTTATTGGAAGTCGTTTCAATCCATTTGGGATATTTCGAAGCAACCTTTTTGTTTTAAGTTTACAACAGTGTGGATTGGTAGTATTTTTGTTGGTGACCCCATGTTGTAGGAGCTCTTAGGAGGATATATTTAACCACGTGTTGAATCTCATTGGTAAGTTTTCTTCTACGCAGTACTTAAGTTATGACATATTATTTCTTTTTGTAAGACCTTCGTTCTTTTATTTCAGTGCCCACATATATATGTAGTCTTTCTGAATAAGCAAGTCAAAGAAATTGGTGAATTCGTCTCCCTTTTTAGCTATGCTTTGATTTTAGTTAGAATGCTTACTTAGACCTAACCCTAGGTTATGTTTCTTTTCGCTGTATATATTTTCAGTATATGGGATTGACTATTAACGGGTGGTATTTTGAAATCTAAGGATGTAATTTTCCTATTTAAATGTAATTGTTGGGTAGAACTCGCTTCACAAGCCGTCTATCCTGTTACTATGTAAATCTGAAGATTACCTACATAAATTGATAAGCCGAAATTTAATTAATTAGTAAACGTTGAGTAGTTTTTACCTATTTCTAGACCTCGCTTCACGAGAAGGCTATGTAGGTACCTGGTTATTTAATTTTAACTTCTTTATCAACCAGGGATAAATAGTTATTTCTGTGTTTTATCTTACACGTTTTCTTTAGGGTTCTTGTGACGGGCTAACAATTCTTGCGAAAGCCAACACCAGTAGTCCTTGTAAAGGGCCAACACTTCTTGTGACGGGCTATCAATTCTTGCGAAAGCCAATACCAGTAGTCGTTGTGAAGAGCCAACACGATAAATTATTTATAATTATTAAACTTGGGTATATATTGAACTTTACTTATTATTTATCCCACTTGCTAATTGTCTGTTTGATTTTATAAACATCTGGCTGAGCATTTATTTTTATGGTAAAGTACACTTATAATATAATAGGAGCATACTCGATTTGTAGCCGCTTGATGGCCTTGTAGAGGAGATGCTATAGTTTTCTATTTGGAGTTTGGAAGTGAACTGTCACATGGATTGTTGGATGTGAGGTTAAACTCCTGGCGCCCACTTAAGAACATAACTTTTTCTACGACTCACCCCCTTCTTCACTGTTGTTAGTCGGCATCCAACATTGGATTAATATAAATCCCACCTCGGTGCTTAGGCACAGAAAGCAGGTACCATTTATTTTTGGCGCCCAACGTGGGGCTCGTTTTTTTGCTTTTCATATTAGAAAAAAAATTTGAGGACTTTACCATATTTTGAAATTTCTTGTAGATTGTAGATTATAGTATTTAAGTATGGGATTTGCTATTTAACCTAGTGGGAACTAAAGATTTTTGGGAAATAACTAAATAATAAAATAATTCCATTATTATTATTAATATTTTAATTAATTTTCACTTTTTTAGTTCAGATTTGAGACATTTTTTTGTCTGATTTTTTTTGTACTGTGGCTACAATCAGTGCTCATAGTTTTTTTGGTAACAATTATGGATAAATTTATTGACATTAGCGAGTGGTATTTATTTGATACTAATTGATATTCATATTGAATTTTTTTATTTGACTTTGCGGATTTAGTGACTTGCGGTTTTGATTAACTTGTTTTTTTTTTGTGACTATTGATTGCAGCCTAGCTATATACAGGGTATATAACTGTATACATATATAAGTGGATATTTTGGAATTTTTTTTATATAAGGTACATATTTGATATTGTTGCACACGGTTATTGTCTTTGATCTTTTGGGAATTTATTTATGGTCAAAGGTAATTTATTTTTTTTGATTGAATTTTTGGACTTTTGAGTCATCTTGGGAAGATTTTGAATTTTTTTTATTGTAAATTTTTGGAGTGAAGTCTAGTATTAAGATGACTTTCAGAATGCAGATTAATAGACTTGGTAAGGACGAGCTGTCGTATGAGGCCCAGGTTAGAGGCATTGCGTTAGGTACGGTGGAGGAAATGCGTTCTGCATTATCAACAGCTTTTCGGTTGGAGAAGTCCGGAGATAGTATTAGTTTTCCTGAGTATCCTTTCACAGAGGTGGAGGATCAGACTGCAGTGTTAGAAAAGTTGGACATACTTGGAAAATTAGTTGACGATTTTAGGGATTCATCAGTAGCAGTGCCTATTTGAAAATAGAGTCTAGGTTAAGGCATATTTTGGGTAAGATTGCGCGTATGGACAAATCGACGCTTGCACCACCACTTCGTTCTAGGGCTTTGGCGATGTTGGGTGATTTACAAGCAAAAGCGGAACAGCATGACATTGCGATGAGGGAACCACCTCAATTAAGTTTTATGGTGCATCAACAACAGCCTAGTTTTGGACCAGTCGATGCTGCCTCAAGTCCAACAGCATCTAGTTCTAGGATGGCAATACAACAACAAGTGGAACATCTCGTTTTCTGGTGATAAGAAGGGAATATCGTTAGGCGCATTTTTAGAGAGAGTTGAGGAGCTGAGGGTAGCGCGACACGTATCTAAAGAGGCTCTACTTGAATCGGGTATCGATTTGTTTGCTGGCAGAGCCTATCAATTTTACTTGGCTTATCGAAATGAGGTTAGCAATTGGGACCAATTCGTTACTTTGCTTAAGGAGGAGTACCTTTCTCCGACTTATGATGAGAAGTTGTTTGAAGAGATTCGTAGGCGAACACAGGGACCTGATGAGTCTATGGGAATTTATTTAGCGGTGATGCTAGGGTACTTCAATAGGTTGACTTGTGTAGTTCCAGATGAGACAAAGTTGCGAATTTTACTTAGGAACATAGCCCCATTTTATCAAAATCAGTTAGCGTTAGTAGATGTAACATCTATTGCATATTTAAGAGAGCTGGGTAGGAAGTTAGAAGCTCGTAAGGATGCTGTCGAGAACTTTGTGCCTCCACCGAGGAGAAGTTTAGTTTTAGAACCGGATTTGGCTTATGTACAGGCCGATGACGATGTTGCTTTGGTGGACGATCGGCCAACGAATTCCTCTAGATCTCCTCAGCCTAGAGTTCAAAATGACGCGACCGTAGTATGTTTTAGATGTAGGAAGCCAGGTCATCGGGCGGCAGGTTGCCTTATGCAAAAGAGCCTTGTTTGTTTTAGGTGCAATAAGGAGGGGTATACGACAAGAACGTGTCCTAATTGCTCTCAAAATCGGTCGGGAAATGGAAGCCAGCGTACTTAAACGATCGAGGTAGGTGCGCCGATAGGGATGACTCGATCGGGAAATTACAGGTTTTGTTGGATTTTGTTTTGGAATATGCTAAGGGCGATGAGCGTCCCTATCTGACAGTCGAACTTTTGGGCAAACCTTTATTAGTGTTATTAGATTCTGGAGCCTCGCGTACAATTTTAGGTAGTAAGGGATATAGGGTTTCATTAGATTTAGGTATTTCGGTTAAGAAAAATGTTGATTCGTATTGTACAGTGGCTAATGGTGTTAAGTGTCAGGCTTTAGGAACTGTGGATTTGCCTTTTGTCCTTAGAGGTAAAGTTAGCTTAGTTAGTTGTCTTGTTGTTCCTGAGTTACCTCATTTACTTATACTTGGTGCAGATTTTTGGAGGAAAATGGGCATTATACCGGTATTGCGAGCTAGAGAGGTGTATTTCTCAGATGAACCTGTGGTAGTAATAGTGTAGAGCATGTTAGGGGCCAGACTACTTTAACAACGTTGGAACAGTCAAGGCTTAAGGCGTTAGTTGATAGGAGAATCTTGTTCTTATGAATAGTACTATAGGATGCAAGAATAAAACTGAACATGTGATTGTTACCAGCAGTTTACCCATCAAGCAAGGGTATTATAGGGTAAATCCAGTTGTGCAGGAACAAATTGATAAGGAGTTAGAGAAAATGTTGGAACTTTATGTGATAGAGCCTTCTAATAGTCCTTGGTCTTCCCCCATTTTATTAGTTAAAAAGAAGGATGGTCTCATCGATTTTGTGTTTACTTTAGAAAGCTCAATGCTGTGACGGTAAGAGATAGTTATCCCCTTCCCATGGTTGCTGATACCCTGGATAAGTTGCGAGATGCAAGGTATATGTCAAGTTTGGACGTCAAGTCGGCATATTGGCAGGTACCGATGGCTGAATCTTCCAAGCAATACACCGCATTTACCGTACCAAATCGAGGACCTTTTCAATTCAAGAGGATGTCGTTTGGGTTGCATAATGCCCCAGCAACTTGGCAGAGGTTAATTGATAACGTTTTAGGCCATGATCTTGAACCTCACGTATTTGTATATCTCGATGATGTGGTTGTAATTAGTCAGTCTTTTGAACAACATTTGGGAATTTTAGAGGAAG